TGCTCAGAGTTGCTCCACAATGACTTCGAACAGCAGTTCTACCCAGTCCATGCAAATGTTGCAAAGTGTTGGTGCAAGGACAAAGCCTTACCTAATTCCTGAACTAACAGGAAAGAAGTTCGAAAGGCCCCCACCATACTTTACAGCACTTTCAGTACCACTCTCAGTCTCAAGATCTCTCAGAGTGATTCCCGATGTACCGTATCGAATGCCTTCTTGAGGTCGATGTAGGATGCAAATAGCCCACGCCCAAAATCACTATTGTGCTCTACAATGACTCAAAGCACAAGGATACGGTCTATTGTCTATTGCTCCGATTTCTGATATCTCAGCAGGTGGTCTCTGATACGTCTTAGAAGGATGTGGGCGAGAACCTTGCTTTGTATACTGAGCAGTATGATGCCTCGGTGGTTGCTGCAGTCCCATTGGTCCCCTTTCCCCTACCAGAGAGGGATGACCACACCCCTCAACAGGTCAGGGGGAGTGGGACAGCATGTAAACCTTGTGCCATGGGTTCCCCACCAGCCTTTAACAGTTCAGCTGGGATGCTACATATACCTGCTGTTTTACCACTCTTCAGCTTTGAGATCACCCTCCCCCTCCCCCTTGGGAGGGAGGATCCTCACTGATGGGTGGGTCCGGCAACGGAATCTCGGCACTTCCGTATGCAAGTTAACTGTTGGTGGGTCAACCTGGTACAACTGCTCAAAATCCTCAGCCCAGTGCTTCTGGACCGCAAATAGATGATGAGATTTGGCCACTTACTAAGTGAACTGCTGTCGCCTGTGAAGAGGGCTTGGAGTTCAGCTTTCTCAGGGCTTGTTATGCAGGACGAAAGTCATTTGCTAAGAAATGGCCTTCTAACTTCTCTGCAAAACTGCTAATAAACTGTTCCTTGTCTCTTCTTAACAGTGACCATGTTCTGCACACCTGAGAACGGTTCAAATCCCAATCCCTTGTCAGATGAGCCACATGGCAAACATCTGTGGCATCTAGTGTCTCCTGCGAGATGAAATTCTGTCTTGCTCTCGGGCGTTCACCAATCATTTCTTGAGCTGCATCAAACGTTTCACACTTAAATGTGTCCCACTGAAGTGCAGTGTCCATCAGATTGTCGAGCACTGAAACGACTAGAGGCTGCCTCAGCAAACCTCCATGCAAACGCCCCCTCCCTCAGCCTGTCCAAGTAAAACACCCTGGGTTGATCATTGGATTGCTGGGAAATTTTGAAATGGCCCCAGAGGATTGCCACAACCAATCTATGGTCAGTACCACAGAACTCTGCACTCCTACACACCCTGCAATTCTGGAGGATCCTCCAACAAGTGCTAACAAGTATGTGGTTGATCTCCTTGGCAGCATTAACCATATCACTGTACTGCGTTTAGTAATGTGGGTCTGGGTGCTGGTACCAGGAGCCAGATATTCTCATTTTCTGGGACCTAGCAAAGTCCTGGAAAAGGAGGGTATTCACCCAGAACAATGCGAATATCTCATGTATATATTTCACCAGGGACACCTATCTGACACAGATGCTAGTTTGGTGTAGAACATCTCTTTCACGTTAAGTTTACAAACATCGGTAGAAGCGTACACAACAATAAGAGATATGGAGCCAAATGCTAGCTTGTCTCATTACCATTATATGCTCAGAAACTGGAGTAACCTCTACTACTAATGGCTGGAG